AAATTCTGAACATTTAAATTAACGAATTAAGTACAACTATTTTAGTTTGCTACGAATATTTACATTTATATTCAATTTCAATTATTTTTAATACAATTTTAAATTGATTAGTCGAAAAATTCAATTATTTTGATTTTTTGCAAATAAAGTTTTCCAGAAGAATTCAATTATTCAAAATAAAATATTCATAATATTTATTATATTTCGAAAAAATTCATTATTTAAATTTTAAAACAATGTTTATAAAATTCTTATGAAGAATTCAATTATTTTTAAAAATAACAAAATTTTTCACAGAAATTCAATTATTAACAAAAAATTTCCTTAAATCAATGATTTTCAATATCTACCAGTTTAATAAAATTTTCCGAAAGAATTCAATTATTTAACAGCAATTTTAGTAAAATTAAATAAATAATTATCTATGATTTTAAAAAAATTTTCTAGGAGAATACAATTATTTAATAACAATTTTTGTAAAATTCTTCCTTTTTCCTTTAATAAAACGTTATTTTGTAAACTTTGTTTATACAAAATAAATAAATAAACAAAAAATTCTACGCAAACATTTAAATATTTTCATGAATAATAAAAAATTTCACAGCAATTTAATTATTTATTTACAAATTTTTTATAAATTTCTTCGCAAAAATTCAATTATTTTTATAAATAATAAAATTCTTTTTAGAAATTCAATTATTTTCTTATAAATAGGTAATAAAACTCATCGCAGAGTTTCAAATTATTTTTAATACAATTTTACAGAAATTACTGAAAAAATGTGATTATTCTTAAAACAATCAATTTATTATTTAAAAGAACGTTTTTTTTAAATTCTTTGGAAGAATTCAATTATTTACAAAAATATTAAAATTTTTCATAGAAATTCAATTACTTTTAAATATTTTAATAAAATTTTCGGAAAGAAATCATTCATTTTAAATACAGTTTTAATTAAATTTTTTTGAAATAATTTAATTATTTTTTTAGATTTTAATTAAATTTTTCTCAAGAATTCAATTATTTACATAAATAATTCTTCGAAACAATTCAATTATGTCGATAAATATATCTATTCTCGAAAATTCAATTATTTTGAGGCATTTTTAATAAAATCCTTTGTAAAATTTAATTATTTTCATAAATAACAATATTCATCACAAGAATTCAATTATTTTTAAAAGTAATAAATTTCTTTTTGGAAATTCCAATATTTTAAAAAATTCTTATAAAATCGTTCTCAAGAATTCAATTATTTTCATAAATAATAAAATGCCTTTTAGAAATTCAATTATTTTCAAAAAACTGTAAAAATATACCACACAGATATTTAATTATTGGCAAAAATTTTAAATTTAATTTCTCAGGAATTTAATTATTTAAATTAGAATTTGCATAAAATTAGTCGAAAGAAATCAATTATTTAAACAATTTTATAAAATTCGTCGCAAGAATTAAATAATTTTTATAAATATTTAAATTCTTTCATGAATTATAAAATTCGTAGCAGGAATTGAATTTATTAGCAGGATAAGAAAGAAGTTAATATTTGTTTTTGAAAATTAGGAAAAAGTTCAGATTATTATATTTAATAATTTTCAGATATATTTATAAAAAATTTTGCAAAAAAAAATCCATATTTTGTAAAAAATTGAAATGTTTATAATAATTTCTTCTTTCATTATTAATGTAGACTAAGTACTTTTGAATTCAGAAGAAAATCGTATTTATTATGTTTTAACTTCGCTAAATACCTATTTCCTAACGTATTTCCAATCATAATTTCAATAACATATTTTTCATTGTCTTTTTTTTCAAAAGCGATAGAATTAAATGTACGTAAAAAATTGAAACATTAATAACTAAATATTTCACGAATTAGGGAATTCTGTCAAAAAAAATTATGAACAACACCACCAGCGCCTCTCAACTACTGCTAAATCATCATTTTCTCACCGTCTGTCAATACATAACAAGTTTTGGAATTTTCTTCAACAACCAAGGTCTACTTGCAATTGACGATGAAAATGACACCGTTCTGGTTCTGAATACTCTGTTCGATTATCTCCGCAAATCACAAAACGAGTCCGCAGCGAAATTACAACTGGTGAAGAGTGCTCTCGAAAGGAATTTACCCAGTGATGGAAGAAATGAAACATTTGACATGAAATACGTGAACGACACCTTTTGGTACATTATCAGCAAATCCCTGTTTCACCAACACGAAAATATCGACAACTATTTAACGTCATTAGTCGATGTAATTGACAAAGAATGGAACGAATTTTACCCACAAATAAAGGAAACCGTGTTGGCAAATCTTCTCAAAACGAAAGCAAAAAATTGTTCATCAAAAAGCAAAACAACTAAAACTACCTCTTTGATTATTGAACAAGTCTTCGAGAAATATATTCTCCCTATTTTGGAGAAGCGAACGGATTTGGATATTTCAAGAAAAGAACTGTTTAATGTGACGAGGAAATATTTGAAACGTTCCAAAAGAAGTGATGAAGTTCCTACAGTTTCGACAAATCAAAGTCCCACTTTTCTCAGATTATTAAAATCTAATAAAGCCATCATAAGACAGTTAACATCTAAACGTTGGAATGAATTATTAACCGATTCAAATACAATAAACATTTTACGTCCCATATTACAAAAATTGGCCTACAATCAAGCTGACCAAATTTGGTTAAAATCACCCAAGAATCTATGGTACACAGATGTGACGAACAGTGTACTAGTTTTACAATATTTAAGAAATCTAAAAGGACATTTATTCTTTTTCAACGATATTACAATAATGTCAGAAGTACAATCAATAGCTATTCGACCTTATTCTAAAAAGGAACCATTCAAAACCGCAATTTACTATAACTGTTACATTGAATCACAATACGGTTTTGCGGATTTATCAAGTTTGGGTATCAATAAATATGCTACATTTCCCGATGTATTATTTACTGTCACGGATGTAGAAACAAAGAAAAGACCTAATGGTGGTATAGATTTATACATAACATTAAAACCCCAACCATTAGCAAGAGAAATATGGAAAGTAAATAGACTCGATGATTATAATTCACTTTCATCATTTAACAAAAATACCAATAATGTAGAAAGATTAAAAATAATTGAACAAGCTGCTAATAAAATAGCATCAAATGTCCCTCTATGCACACTAACAACAGCAATTGAATTGTTAAAGTGTTACATTCTCAAAATGGAAGCAAGTAAAACGTACACACCAACCTATGAAAAATTCGCCGACGATTATTCAAAAAAATTAAGAATTGAACGTTATTACAAAAATTTCCTAATGACTAAAACAAAATTAGTCAATAATTTATTATACGAATCGACTTTAGATAATATTGAAAATTTTGAAAGCGCTATAAACAGAATCAGTAAACATTACTCTATAAATGATGAAAAACAAATGCAAATGATATTTGACAAATATACATCATCGTCAGCTAAAAATTCTATTTACTTTGAAGATTATTTTATAATTAATACAAAATTTAATGAATTGCAAATTTTATACGATAGAACGAAGATGGATATACTAAAAGTCACAATTTGTAGAATTGCTTTGAGACAAACTGATATGGAACCAATTGAAGGACCCATTATTCTTTATTATGGTTCAATGGTCCATGAGGGTGTATACAAAGATTTTTTAAAATTACAAAAACAAGAAGTATTCGCTTTTAATTCATTCTATAAATTTTCGACAAAAATGGATTTCGAAATGGAAAAATTGTCATCAGATTCAGAATTAAAAGCAATATTCATTGAGATTGCATTAAACGATCCTACTGGAATAGCCGATATTGGACGTTATTTAATATTTGAAAATAAAATATTTTCGCCATATTTCACAATGCAATTTGTAGTGGATAACATGAGTCATGAGATAATAAATTCTTGTGAAACTTTGGTTATCAAGTTACATGATTTATCAAATCCAAAGGAGGAAAGAATGGTTCAAATGACAAAAGAACTTAGTGAAATGATTCCAACTAAGTCAGAAGAGAAAACATTTGTTTCACCTTTTTTCACTTAAATTTTTCTTCTGTTTTCTTTGCTTTTTTATTTTGCTTTTGCGTCCTTGAAATATAAATCAGAAAGATATATTTGTTACAATATTTATATCCATTTTTGCATTATATTTTTAAAGCAATAAAATATCAATTGACAATTTTTATGATGTTGCTCATGCATTTCCAGTACCAATAATTAGTTATTATTCGCTAATATTTATTTATTGTTTTCTACTAATTGCTGAAGCAAAAAGTTAATCACAATTTCACAAATAATTAGTTTTCTAATTATTTTATTTTATTTACTTGTAAAAATAAATCAGATATTTTTATTCTAATATTCTGTACCTAATTTTTTTAATATTCTGTAAATCATGAAACGACAAATGACAATTTTTATGATGATGTACATTATTTTTTTCTATATAATGTATTCCAGTTGTTATTAATTTATGATAAATAAATGTTTACTGACAAATCGTGCATTTTACTACTTTGGAACTTTATAGTTTTTTTTCTCGGGTCGATAAAGAAAAATGTTTTCAAAGTTTAATCGAAATTGGTCCATTAAAAATTGATAAGCTCAAAAAAACTTATCAAAAAATTTTTGCAATAACTTAAATATTATAAACGTGCAAGTAAAATAAAAAAAAGAATATTGGTATCTTTTTCACAAACTGCATGGAAATATGCAGAAAAAGTAAAATAAAAATCGCTTTTCAAAGCAAATAATTTATTTTTAAGATAGTACTGTACTGTATTTTTTTCAGTTCTGTTCAAGTTTAAATAAAAAGCAGTTTATCTGTAAGGACAAAATAATAAATACGGTAAGAATGATAAATTACTGTTTCAATGCAAATATGATTCTTTAATCAAAATAAAAAGAATGTTTCAATCAATGTTGAAATTTTTTTTAAAATTGTTATTTATTTTTAAATTAATTATACTAGAATTTGAAAATCTAATACATACTCTTGCTGTAATTGTCTAATATTTAATTTTTAAATTGTATAAACATTTTTTACTACTTTATTTATTGTATCCATTGTTAATCTCAATCATAAAAACAATTTAATTAAGAAGAGGAATATTTACTTGAAGAAAACTACATTTATTTATGTTGCCAAAGGTCAGGGAAAACATGGAAAAGTCAGGAATTTTTATTAAAAGAACTGTGAAAAATTAAATTTTTAGAATTAATAAGAAAATTATGAATTTTTGTGACTTTTTTGTTTGCCTCATATACTATGAAATTGTTACGAATTCTAATACAAAACCTTCAATTTTTTCTATTTATGACAATAATTTGTTTTTAAATAACTTCATTCTTGAAGAACTATCAGAAAATTAGAAATTATAAATTATTTAATGAATAATTTTACTTAAATATATCAAAATTAATTCAATTTTAAAAAAGTTGTTTCTTTAATTTTTATAAATAAATGAACTTCAGAAGGTTTTAATTTGAAATTAAAAAAATTTCAATTTTGAATGAATTTAATTAGAAATAAAGAACTTGGATTTTCGAAAAATTTTAATAATTCAAATTCTTCTGAAATAAGTTAAATTTTTAAATATATTTTTAATTAATTCTTTGAAAATCATGGATTTATAGAAGAATTTTAGTTAAAAACACTAAAAAAAAATTAAATTTTGGAAAAGTTACAAATAATTGCAGAAATTCAATTATTTTCAATATCTAGTATTTTCATAAAATTTCGCAAAAGAATTCAATTATTTAAAAAAAAAATGATAAAATTCATCCAAAATTCAATTATTTACATAAATAATAAAATTTCCACAGGAATTTAATTAATTTAGAAAAGAATTTTCAAAACAATTTCGAAAAAATCAATTATTTAACAAAATTTTTATACAATTCTTCACAATAATTCAATTTCTTTCACTAATAATAACATTTTTCATGGAAATTAAATTTTTAAAAAAAAATTTTTTAAAATTCTAAGCAAGAATTCAATTATTTTTTATATAAATAATAAAACTCATCAAAGAATTTCAATTACTTTTAATACTATTTTAAATTAATAAATCGAAAAATTCAATTATTTTTACAAATAAAATTTTCCAGAAGAATTCAATTATTTAAAATAAAACGTTCATAATATTATAATTATATTTCGAAAAAACTCATTACTCAAAACAATGTTTATAAAAATTCTTATAAAGAATTCAATTATTTTAAAAAATAACAAAATTTTTTCCAGAAATTCAATTCTTTTAAAACATTTTAATACAATTTTTCGAAATAATTCAATTATTTTCATAAATATAAAAATTCTTCTCAGGATTTCAATTATTTTCAATACAATTTTACAGGAATTGCTCAAAAAATGTAATTATTCTTAAAAATTTAATTTAAATTTCTCGAAAAAATCAATTATTTAAAAGAATGTTTTTTAAAATTCTTTAGAAGAATTCAATTATTTACAAAAATATTAGAATTTTTTAAGAGAATTCAATTATTTTAAAATATTTTAATATAATTTTTCGAAAGAAATCATTAATTTTAAATACTATTTTAATTACATTTTTTTTGAAATAATTTAATTATTCTTTTAAATTTTAATAAAATTCTTCTTAAGAATTCAATTATTTACATAAAAAATTCTTCGAAAGAATTCAATTATTAAAGATAAATAACAAAATTATCCTGAAAATTTAATTATTTTAAGGCATTTTTATAAAATTCTTTGCAAAATTCAATTATTTTCATAATTAACAATATTCATCACAAGAATTCAATTATTTTTGAAAGTATTAAATTTCTTCTTGGAAATTAAATTATTTTAATAAATTCAAATAAAATCGTTCGCAAAAATTTAATTATTTTCACAAATAATAAAATTTTTCAGAGGAATTCAATTATTAAAAAAATTTTATAAAATTCGTTGCAAGAATTTAATTTTTTTTATAAATAATTACTTTCTTTACAAAGTTCCAGTTTTACTGTTAATACAATTTTTAATAAATTAGAACTAAATGAATTATTCTTTTTAATTTCCTTAAAATGATTTAACAAATTTCAATTATTACTAAACATTTTAATTAAATTCTACGCAAACATTCAATTATTTTTATAAATAAATAATCAAATTATTTATAAAAATTCAATTTCAAGAGGTAATCAATTATTCAATAAATTATTAATTTTTATATTTAAATAATTGAATACTCGTAGAATGTTTCCAGGTGGAAAAGTTAACGTTAGTTAACTTTGGCTAATGCTTACGTTGGACTAACGTTAGGCTAACGTTAGTTAACTTTAGCTAATGTTAGACTAACGTTCGGCTAATGTTAGTTAACTTTAACTAATGCTCACGTTAGACTAACGTTAGTTGACGTTAGTAGCATAAGCTAACGTTAACTTTTCCGCCTGGGTTCTAATAAAAGTTAATTTAAAAACTAATTTTAGTTAAAATTTTAGATAATAATTGAAATTTTTAAAAATATTTCATGAATTAGGAAATTCTGACAAAAAATGATGAACACCACCGTCTCTCAACCATTGCTAAATCATCATTTTCTCACCGTCTGTCAATACATAACAAGTTTTGGAATTTTCTTCAACAACCAAGGTCTACTTGCAATTGACGATGAAAATGACACCGTTCTGGTTCTAAATACTCTGTTCGATTATCTCCGCAAATCGCAAAACGAGTCCGCAGCGAAATTACAACTGGTGAAGAGTGCTCTCGAAAGGAATTTACCCAGTGATGGAAGAAATGAAACATTTGACATGAAATACGTGAACGACACCTTTTGGTACATTATCAGCAAATCCCTGTTTCACCAACACGAAAATATCGACAACTATTTAACGTCATTAGTCGATGTAATTGACAAAGAATGGGACGAATTTTACCCACAAATAAAGGAAACCGTGTTGGAAAATCTTCTCAAAACGAAAGCAAAAAATTGTTCATCAAAGAGCAAAACAACTAAAACTACTTCTTTGATTATTGAACAAGTGTTCGAGAAATATATTCTCCCTAATTTGGAGAAGCGAACGAATTTGGATATTTCAAGAAAAGAACTGTTTAACGTGACGAGGAAATATTTGAAACGTTCCAAAAGAAGTGATGAGGAGGTTGAAAAAAAGCAGGTAAAATTCGTCACTGGTGTAACAGACGAGAGACAAAATATTCTGCAACTCTTACGACATAGTACTTGGAAAGAATTAACAAGAGATGCAGAAGTAATAAAGAAGATGCGTCTTTTATTGAATAAATTAGCTTACAGTCAAGTTGATAAAAAATGGTTATTTACTCCACTGCATCTTCGTTTCATTTCAATAACAAAAAGTAAGGCAATTTTAGAATTTTTATTAAACTTAAAGGGACATTCATTCGCCTTCAATGACATAACATTGATGAAAAATGAATTTCATACGGCTCCTCAAAGTAAAGATAATGACAATCCTTTCAATTTTATAATCTACTATAATTGTCGCATTGAATCTCAATACGGATTTTTGGATTTGAATAGTTTCGGTGACAACAGTGTTCACAATACCTATGCTACATTCTCCGATGTATTTTTTACTATCACAAGTACAGAATTAGTGCCACGTTATAATGGTGGTACTGATTTACACATTCAATTAGAGCAACAACCATTAACAAAAGAAAAATGGAAAATACATCGACATCGTAATTTTAAAATACTATTTGCAGTGAATGAAATTATTAACTTAATAAGATTGCAAGAAATACATAAATTGGCGAATGTCATTTCATCACAGGTGCCTCTATGTTCGTTAACAACTGCCACTGAATTATTAAAAAGCTACATTTTAAAATTTGAAGAAAGTATGTCTCACGTGCCAACTTATGCAACATTTACCAATGAATACATAAACACCCTACAAATTAAAGATTCATATAGAAAATTTTGGTTTAAAAACGAAAAATACATTGACGACGTATTATACGAGAAGATTTTGGATAACATCGATGACTTAAATGTTGCTGTACGAAAAGTTGCTAAACTTTACAATGAAAACAATGAAAGGCATATAGGTGAAATTTTTAACAAATACAAAGTATTAACATTAACCAGATACTATCTCCGCTTTGAAGATTACTATCTAATTAATACAAAATTGACCCATTATAATAATAATGAAGATTTAAAGAAAATTAACATTGCAATTTCTAGACTTGCTCTAAGACAATCTTTCATGGAACCAATTAATCATCAATTAATTCTTTATCATACTGATAGAGTTAATAAAACTATGTACGAATACTATAGAAGATTGGAAAGAGGTGAAATTTTCAAGTTTGATACATTGGTCAAATTAACGTCCAATGAAACAGAAGTAGAGAAAGAATTGAATCCCATCCCGAGATTAAAAACGATATTATTTAAAATTAATTTGAAAAATCCTACTGGCATGGTGAACATGGAGGGTTTCTTAATTTCTCCTGATCCAATTTATATACCATATTTCTCAATGAACTTCGATGTTATCTCTGCTCGTGATGAGACAATAAATAATTATTCAGTTCTTGTTATCAAATTGGTAGCTTTTGGAGGTGCAAAGGAAGATGTAATGATTGAAATTATAAACGAACTTGGTAAAAATGACCTAACTGAATTTTACATCGACTAGTTTCTATTGTTTTAAACTTCTTTTTGGCATCCCAGTCAATGGTTCATTTTTGAATGAATTGTTATTTTCTTTTGTTATAAAAAAAAAATTAGTTTTTAAATTTTTTTGCTTTCTTGAAATATAAATCAGAAAGATATATTTGCTACAATATTTATATCCTTTTTTGCAGTATATTTTTAAAGCAATTAAATATCAATTGACAATCTTTATGATGTTGCACATGCATTTCCAGTTCTTGTATTCAATTTGTTATTAAATTCTGATAATAAATAAATATTGAACAAATCGTGCATTTTTACTTCTTTGTCCTGTTTAAAAACACTGGGGACTTAAATCTGATACTAAGTTCTAAAGTAGTCAATAAAAAGTATTTTTAATCACATGTTTCTTGATAAATAAAATATTAGAAAAACGTGAGTGTAAAATATGCCTTTTTCTTTTAAAATAGTGTTTTCAAAAAATAGTAAGTCAGTTGTTTTTTTCTTTTTGAAAATACATGAAGGCGCAAATAAAATATCTACGGTAAGAATATTATACCAATAAAAAATTCTTTTCTTCCTTTTCTTATCTCTTTTTTCTTCTCCTTACTTTTCTTCTAACAATTCACTTTCAAAATGTCTTTCTCCAAAAAACAAAATGTTTCAAAAGTATGAACATTTAAAAATTGTGTGTATTAGAATCAGCTGAAATTAAAAATGATGAGCAACACTGTAACCGTAAATCATCAATTTCTCTCCGTCTGCTATTACATTACAAGCTTTGGTCTCTTATTAAACAATAATGATCTACTTGTCCTCGGAATGGAACAAGATGCTCCAAGAACAGAACTATTTAACGTACCAACAAAATTTTTGAATCGTTCCAAAAGAAGTGATGAGGCATCTGATGACGGAAGCAGTCCAAGCAAGAAGATAAAATATACAACCATCAAAAAGGAATCAACCTTCGAAGATGATCTTCTAAAAAATTTAAGAAAATACACTTGGAATGAATTAACAAAAAATGTACAAACAACCAAAAATTTACGTCTTGTGCTAAATAAATTAGCATACTACCAAACTAATGAAAAATGGTTGGAAAAACCAATGGATCTATGGCACATGGATTCGACACAAAATATTCTCGTATTCCAATATTTAAGAAATCTAAAAGGACATTCATTCTCTTTCAATGACATAACAGTAATGACAAATCAAGATACGACATTAACTCCACATAAACTAAACCAAAATCCATTCCGAATCATGATTCATTACCACTGTCTCATTGATTCTCAATACGGATTTTTGGATTTAACAACTTTCGATCGTAAAAATATTAATAATAAATATATCACATTCCCCGATGTAAAATTCACCGTGACAAATACAGAATTATCGAAACGAGATAATGGCGGTATTAATTTACACATTGAATTGAAACAACAACTAATCACCAAAGAATTATGGAAAATCACAAGACATCAAGAATTTAGAAGTCTATTTCAACAATCATCGGCAAATAATATTAAACAAGTGCTTAGAATGCAAAGAATTGAAGAAACAACAAGAATCATAACTCAAACTGTTCCTCTCTGTTCATTGAAAACCGCCACTGACTTATTAAAAAGCTACATTCTAAAAATAGAATCAAGTGATTCGCACGTACCAACATTTCAAAAATTCGGCGAAGATTATTGCAATTTATTAAAAATTGACGATTCCTATCAAAAATTCTTAATCACCAACAGAAAATACATTGATGACATATTATACGAATCGTCTCTAAATGAAATTACCAACCTTGATGATGCAGTACGAAAAATTAATAAACTCTACGATACTTCCAATGAAAAATACACACAATTAATATTTAAAAAATACACTGAAATGCCTACATTAATACATTTTCTCCGTTTCGAAGATTTCTATCTAATTAATACAAGAATGACCGATTTGAATGTTAATCCAAGTGATGAAGACTTGACGAAAATAGAAACAACAATTTCGAGAATTGCTATCCGACAAGCTTTATTAAAACCCATTAAAAAGCCTCTTACACTTTATTGTGGTGATATGGTCGATACTGCTCGTTACAACTATTATAAAAATCTAACTGGTAGAGAAATAGTTCAGTTCAATAGATTTTATAAATTTTCGACAGATGAAAAAAGTGAAAAGAAAAAATTATCGCCAAATCCAGAATTAAATTCAGTATTATTTGTGGTTCAATTAATTCATCCTGCTGGAATGGCGGACATTGGTCGTTATTTCATTCATGCACAGAAATTAAATTATGCACCGTATTTTTCAATGTCTTTTGTAGTGGACAAGGTGAAATTTAAGAAAGTAAAACATCACGAAGTGTTGGTGGTGAAAATGCATGATTTAAGAATTCCAAAGGAAGAAAAAATTGTTCAAATGATTAAACGAATGAATACTATTTTCGCAACAAGAGAATTATACATCGACTAAGGTTAAAATAATTTACAGACAACATTATTATTATAGTTTTTTTTTCCGAGGTCCGCAAAGTTTTTAAAATCGAAAAAATTATTTTAACTTCTTTCAGAAAATGTTACTTTCTATACAGAGCCAATTAAATAATTTTTCGCTCTTAAAACCGTTGCTGACTTTAATTATTTTCTTTTATCTATTTGGAAAAATAAATCAGATATTTTTAATCTAATATTTTGTAAGTATTTAAATTCTATAAATTTTCTATAAATTATTCTATAAATTATTCTATAAATCATAAAATGACAATTTTTATCATGATGCACATTGTTCTTTTCTTTTCATGTATTCCAGTTGTTGTTAATTTCTGATAAATAAATATTTACTAACAAAATAGTGCATTTTTTTTACCTTGAAACTTTATAGTTTTTCTTCTCGAGACAATAAAGAAAAATGTTTTTAAAGTTCTTTCGAAATTAATCCATAAAATACTAAAGTCACTGCTCAAAAAGGCTCATAAAAAATATTTGCAATAACTTAAATATTATAAACGTGCAAGTAAAATAAAAAAAGAAATTTGGTATCTTTTTCAATATTACAAATGTCAGAGTTATTTTTATTTTTATGCAAAAATTTTATAGATAATTAAAAATTCAAATTCTTCTGAAATTAGTTAAATTTTTAAATATATATTTTTAATTAATTATTAAAAAATCATGGATATATAGAAGAATTTTAGTTAAAAACACTAAAAAAAATTGAATTTTGGAAAAGTTACAAATTATTGCAGAAATTCAATTATTTTCAAACGGCATAAAATTCTTCGCAGAAATTTAAATATTTACGAAAAGTTAAAATAAAATTTTTCGTAGAAATTTAATTCATTTTAAAATTTTTTTAAAAATTTCCTTTAAAAAAATTATTTTTTATAATTTTGATAACATTTTTTTATAAAAATTCAATTATTTTTATAAGTAATAAAATTCATCGCAAGATTTCAATTATTTCTAACACAATTTTATTTAAATTATTATAGAAATAATTTAATTATTCGTTAAATTTTCGTTAAAATGATTTAAAAAATTTAATTATTTACAAAAATTTTAATAAAATCCTTCGCAGGAATTCAATTTTTTTTACAAATATTAAAGAACTATAAATTATTTTACAAATAATTTATAGAAGAATTTTAGTTAAAAACACTAAAAAATTGAATTTTGGAAAAGTTACAAATTATTGCAGAAATTCAATTATTTTCAAGCGGCATAAAATTTTTCGCCGAAATTCAATTATTTTCGAAAAATTTAAATAAAATTTTTCGTAGAAATTTAATACATTTCAAAATTTTTTTTTAATTTCTTTGAAAAAAAATATTTTTTATAATTTTGATAACATTTTTTTTATAAGCATTCAATTATTTTTATAAGTAATAAAATTCATAGCAAAATTTCAGTTATTTTTAAAACCATTTTAATTAAATTATTCAAAATAATTTAATTATTCTTTTAAATTTTCTTAAAAAGATTCAAAAAATTAAATTCTACTCGAACATTATTTATGAGAATTCAATATTAAGAAGTAATCAATTATTCAGTAAATTATTAATTTTTATATTTAAATAATAATTATTAATTTTTAAAAATAAATAAATATTTAAAAAGTTATCTCGTAAAATATGTCTTGAAAGTTTTGAAGGTTCGAACATTTTTACTCTTTTCAGTGTAACTAAAATAATAATATAAATTGCTTTACTGATAAAAAAAAGTAATAAGAGAATACAAATTTTTCTGTGCAATAAAACTGCGAATAAATAAACTAAAAAATATTTATACAAATCTAAAGAAACTCGTATTTATATTTCCGGAAATTATTTTTTTATAAATAAATAGAAGAGAGGAAAACATTTTCTTTTTGAATTATAAATGTTCCATAGTTTTTCTATCGTTCAAATGAAAGATAATACTTTTTTTTATGTATTTTTGTTACTATGTTTATTATATTTATTTTCTAATTAATGCAAAATTGTAATGACAAATAGAAATCGTCAGAATTTTTTTCACTTCTCTTCATTAAAAGACTAAAATTTTGTTAAATATTATGTTTTGTCAAATTGAAATTATGCAGATTTTTGTTCTTTACTTCTAAGGAAAATTAGAAAATTGTTAAACAACTGTGATGAAGAAATAGAAAATTTATTTATTTTGCATTATTTTTCTTTATGAATTATTATTTTGTTTAAGAAAAAGAAGAAAAATATTTGCACAATTTCTATTTTTAATCTTATTTTTGGAACAGGACTTTCCACAGGAATTAAGTGATCAATTTCTCCATGTTTTTTAATAATTAATGATGACTGAGAGATAAAATTATTATTTTATATTCGAAGAATATTGTTATTGTAACTACATCAAAATTATTTTCATCATTTTAATTCAATTATTATTTTGTAGAATTTTAAATTATTTTTTATGAAAATAATTGAATTCTATTAAAAATTTTATTATTTATGAAAATAATTGAATTCCTGTGAAATTTTTATTATTTAGTAAAATACTTAAATGTTTGCATACAATTTTATTAGAATTTTGTTTAAATAATTGAATTTTTTTTGGGAAATTTTATTAAAATAGTAGATATTGAAAATCATTGAAATTAGAAAAATGCATTTTATTTTTGAAAATAATTGAAATTAGGACAAGAATTTTTTTTTAATTTTGAACATAATTGAATTTTATAAGAAGAATTTTCTTTTTCTTTTTTAAATAATTGAATTTCTGTAATTATTTGTAATTTCTCCAAAATCTAATACAAAACAAAAAATTAGTTTTTAAATTTTAAAACAATTTATTACTAGTTATTTAGTTTATTTTAAATTAGTTTATGTTTTCATGCTATAATTTAAAAAAAAAAAATATTGAAAAAGGGAAAATTATAAAATATTTAAGACACAATATTAAATGTGAAAAATATTTTTTTCTCGTGAATTTTCATTTCGACATTAAATTTACTTATTACAAAAACTAGAATGCATATTAAGTGAAACTCAAGTGAACTTCAGAAGTCGAGACGAGAAAAAGAGAATAAAAGTATAGGGGGGGGGGGGGGGGGGGAGGGAGGAAAAAAATTGAACGAAAGGAGATGAAATTTGTTTGTTTTTTTTCTTTTCTCTCTCTCTCTCTCTCGTTTTTTTGCAAAATGGAAAGAAGAAAGGATTCGGATATATATTATTCACTTCATATAAAACCCGTTTGGTGTGGGTTCAATCGTAATACGATTGTATTATGCATTTGTAATTAAATGGCGGAGGCTCGAGAGTGAACGAGGACGTAATTACGTTTGAAATCGTATAATTGCTTATTCGGGATATTAATTATCCCGTCATTTTCCCTCTACACCGCAACCGCCTCGCTTTTAAACTCTACGTGTGTATATCTGTCAATAGTTTTACCTATATGTATATATTATATATATACCACGAGTGTGTGTATATTGGTCCAGACCACCCTCTCGAAATACTATAAAATTGTATTTTCACTTAATTACCAACGTTTCATTAATTAATCGATTCTTGATTCGATGCATAGCAAACTTTCATGCGTAATCTCATTTAGCTGTCTGTGTGATTACATAAAATCTATATTGGTAGGTAAAATTATTATTGTTTATAAATTGTAAACACAAAATCACTCTTGTATGTTTTTTTTCTACTTTTGAAGTCTATAAGTTCTAAAACTAAAAAAAAAATTCTGAAATTCTGAAAAATTTGTTGCATTGATTTTAGACTTATGATTTACTTAAAAAATAGTGAATATGGAAAATTGAATTTTCCGCCAATTATAATATTGCGTAATGGTCTGACAGATGGCTGAACTGTTGCTTAAAATTGAGGTTGAGTGGCGGGAGTATTTTATTGCTTTTTGTTCAATAATTATAAACAGTAATTAATCATTAATTTTTTTCTACTTGAAAGGAAGTTAAATTGATGAAAAATGAAAAGAAAGAATTATTTTTTCAGCACTTACGAATAATTTCCAGTGGACAAAAATTTGAATTTAACTCACCTGAAACAGAAAATAAATATTTTGATTACAAATCAAAAAGTAAAAATACAAATAAAAATTATAACTTTTTTTTTACCAAAGCGGATAGTGTAAATATTTAAATATTAAATTAAAATTTCTTAAACTAAAGCAGGACTTACAAATTTTACGTAGAAAAATGTTTTTTTTTATAAAAAGTTATTTTCTTTCATCTCAATTATACCTAGATAATTCACATATTATCAGAATTCGCACTCGATCATTAATTTTAAAAAAAAAAGTAGCAAAAAGTAGCTTTGAATCTAAAAAAAAGTAGTAAAAAAGTAGCTATCGAAAAATTAAACTTAAAGGTAAAAAAAACTCGTTTTAAACACTTAACAAAACTGACATAAAATCACATTCTATATTTTATTTTCCTGACTTTTTCCTAATTTTCATCAAAAATATTTACTTCTTTATTATTCTGATAATAAATTGAATTCCTGCAACGAATTTTATTATTCATGAGAGAATTGAAACATTTATAAAAATAATTTAATTTTTGCGAAGAATTTTATAAAATTGTTTAAATAATTGATATTTTTCGACTAATTTTAGGCAAATTCTAATTTAAATAATTGAATTCCGGAGCAATTTTTATTATTCATGAAAAGAATTGAATTCTCACGAAGATTTTTACAAAAAATGTTTTAAATAATTGAATTCTGTTCGGAAGCTTTATGAAAATAGTAAATTACTGAAAATCATTGAATTGCGAAAAGTTTTTGGAAATAATTAAATTTCACAAAGAATTCTATTAAAATTTTTGACAATAATTGAATGTCTGTGTGGTATTTTATTAAATTTTTTTGAAAATAGTTGAATTCCTAAAAAGCATTTTATTATTTATGAAAATAATTGAATTCTTGAGAAATATTTTATTAGAATTTTTTTAAATAATGGAATTTGCAAGAAGAAATTTATACCTTTTACAAATAATTGAATTCTTGTGATGAATATTGTTATTTATGAAAATAATTGAATTTTACAAAGAATTTTATTGAAATGCCACAAAATAATTGAATTTTCGGGAATAATTTTGTTATTTATCGATATAATGGAATTGTTTCGAAGAATTATTTATGTAAATAATTGAATTCATAGGAAGAAATTTATTAAAATCTAAAAGAATAATTGAATTATTTAAAAAAAAAACTTAATAAAAATTGTATTTAATTTCTTTCGAATAATTTTATTAAACTATTTGAAAATAATTGAATTCCTGTGAAAAATTGTAATAATTTTGTAAATAATTGAATTCTTCCAAATAATTTAAAAAAAACATTTTTTTTAAATAATTGATTT